CATGGATAGCTCTAGAATTACCACAGTTATCCAAGTAGTGCGGTTCAGCAGAGATCCAATGAGTTATATCTGATTTAATGAGCCGTCCGCGGTTTCGCCTTAAGTCGGCCTGTACTTACACATGCATGGCTTAATCTTTGAGACAAGCATATGACTACTGGCAGGATCAACCAGGTAGAAATAGGGGGAAAAAAGAAAAGCAAGAGAAGACCAACGAAAAGCGACCTGTCCTGGTCGTCGTCGTCGTCCGTCTCCCTTTCTTTCTTGTTCGTGCTGGGACGAGCGGGAGGAGGAGGAGGAGGGGAAGGCTTCAGGAGGAAGGGGCAGGAGGAGCGCGCGGGGGGGGGGGGGGGGTCGCGGCATTTGCAGCGCATTTGCATCGCTGCTCCGCCGACGCCGCACCCACCCACACCACGGCGCTCGCTCCTCCTTCGTCGTCGTCGTCGTCGCCTTCGACTCTCTCGCTGGCTCGCTCGCTCGCTTCGACCCTGTTCCTCGGCTTTTCGCAGGGCCAGCCCGCGCAGCCCTCTCCCTTTACCGCGCGCTCCCACGCCCGCGCCGCCCGCGCGCCCGCCGCCGCTGCTCGCGGCCCCCGCCCCAAAGGGGCCAGGGGGAGCGAGAGGGCGGGAGGGAGGCAGGCAGGCAGGGGAGGGGAAGGAGAGGTTGCAGCAGGGAAAGAGGGGCGCGGACCGGCGGATGGCATCTCAGGGTGCGCCGCACGCAGGGGTGGGAGAGAACAAGCATTGCCGGGCCAGAGCAACGGCCGCGGCAGGCTCCCACCCGGGCGCGATCCCTTTCTCGTCTCGTCTTTCTCTCTTTTTTCGCTTCTTGCCATCGTCGTAAAGGGGTCGCAGGCCCTTCGCAGGGCCTGCGAAGGGGCGGGGGCGCTGGGGCCCCCGAGCCTCCCTCGCGCACACGCACGCACGCGCGCGCGCGCGCGTAAGGGAAGGGGTGTGTGATTGCCGGGGGTTTCTTCAGCTCTCGCCGCAAGGGTGTCAACACAACCCGGGATCTAGCTCGACGCTATCGACGCAACAACGTGGCCGAAGGGAGAAGAACCGCAGGGAGCTCGACCGTCGCGAGGGGGAGGCCGCGCGGGGGCGGCACTCGGAAACCATTCCGAACGTCTAGAATGCAGCGGTCGCCTGTGTGAAGGGCAGGGCCACAACCGACCTCGAGAGGGGGCGGCACGGGGAATGGTTACCCCGGCGGCCCCCGGCCGGATGCGTGGCGCGAGCCCGCGACCTTTGCTGTGCGCTGCGGCTGGGCCATGGCAGCCAGGAGGCTGCCCCGCCTGCCGCTCGCCAACCTACCAACAACCTCTTCCACGCGCCCAGCACCAACAACACCACCACCACAAAGGGCCTCGGCAACAGGGCGGCGGGGGAGGGAGGCCATTGGGGAAGGGGATGAGGGACCGGAGACGCGCAGGGACGCGTGCCTCCTTACAGCTGCCAAAACGCCCGTTCGCCCAACACCACCGCGAACAGGGGCCGCCCCCGCCCGCTCGTCAGGGAGGACACCCCCTCCAGGGGGACCCACGCCCTCGCCGCACCGCGGCTTCGCTCTGGGGACCTCCCCGAGCCTCGCTGCCTCGGCCTCAGAGCCCTCTCAGGAGGCGGCGGAGGGAGGAAGGAGGGCCCGACCAGGGCCTGCCTGCCTGGACAACAACCAACCCCGCCCGGGGACGGCGGGGAGCCGACCACGCTCGGGATACCCGTCCGCGGCCGCGAGGGAGCCCGCCCACCGAGGCCTCGCTCGCCGGCCCCGGCGCCGCCCGCCCGCCAGCCAGCCAACGCCAGCGACCCCCCTTCGTCCCCATACACTTGTCGCCGCGGCCGTTCCGCCCCCACCACCCCAAACAGGCCGCCCTCTCGCCCGCCCGTCAAGGCGCACGCCCCCTCGCAGCCCCCGACAGACCCGAGGCTCCGGGAACGCCCCTCGCTCGCCGCTTCTCCCGCCCACGGACACGGCCCAAGGGACCCAGGCCTCGCTCCGCCACCAAGGCGTCCTCCTCCGACCGCCAACGCCCCTTTCCGCCGCGCCCGCACACACCAGCCACAGCAGCGGGGCCCGCCCGACAGACCCGAGGCTCCGGGAACGCCCCTCGCTCGCCGCTTCTCCCGCCCACGGACACGGCCCAAGGGACCCAGGCCTCGCTCCGCCACCAAGGCGTCCTCCTCCGACCGCCAACGCCCCTTTCCGCCGCGCCCGCACACACCAGCCACAGCAGCGGGGCCCGCCCGACAGACCCGAGGCTCCGGGAACGCCCCTCGCTCGCCGCTTCTCCCGCCCACGGACACGGCCCAAGGGACCCAGGCCTCGCTCCGCCACCAAGGCGTCCTCCTCCGACCGCCAACGCCCCTTTCCGCCGCGCCCGCACACACCAGCCACAGCAGCGGGGCCCGCCCGACAGACCCGAGGCTCCGGGAACGCCCCTCGCTCGCCGCTTCTCCCGCCCACGGACACGGCCCAAGGGACCCAGGCCTCGCTCCGCCACCAAGGCGTCCTCCTCCGACCGCCAACGCCCCTTTCCGCCGCGCCCGCACACACCAGCCACAGCAGCGGGGCCCGCCCGACAGACCCGAGGCTCCGGGAACGCCCCTCGCTCGCCGCTTCTCCCGCCCACGGACACGGCCCAAGGGACCCAGGCCTCGCTCCGCCACCAAGGCGTCCTCCTCCGACCGCCAACGCCCCTTTCCGCCGCGCCCGCACACACCAGCCACAGCAGCGGGGCCCGCCCGACAGACCCGAGGCTCCGGGAACGCCCCTCGCTCGCCGCTTCTCCCGCCCACGGACACGGCCCAAGGGACCCAGGCCTCGCTCCGCCACCAAGGCGT